TATAAAACATTTGCACTTGGCAGCAAATTCATATAGTGTAAAAGAAGTACAAATGATAAGTCGAAGAAAAACAATTACAGGTAAGATGACTAAACATTGAATTTAATAGGGAATTTAACAATTAAAATTTGATTAATACAAAAACCAAAGTGGAGGCAATTTGCTATAAGCAAAATATAGGATGGAAGATGTGTCCCCACACAAATCCACCAGATTTAAAGATTGTTAGATTTAGATAGTGTGTATGTTGGTTGGTAGGTTGTTCTTAACATTTGCAGCATTGTAGCAGAATGCTGCCTCCTCAAGTTTTGTGTTGACCGAGGGCTAATAATTAGATTTTGTATTTGCATATGTTTGTGCCCGTCAACAGAGAAATCCTGCAGGAAATCCAGCGGCTGCGGGTCCAGCACGAGGAGGCCTCCCAGCCGCCTCCCGACAAGGGTCAGCAGAACCCCACTCTGCTGGCGGAGCTCCGTCTTCTCAGGTAACTGCTGACTCCATCCATCCCGCTGCAGTGTGTGGTCACAGGCTCTGAATCTACCTTCTGTAATTACCTGTCGTTTTACAAAGCAAACCACAGATGCTCATGATGTCTTCTTCCTTGTTTTTCCATTGACGCGACATTATGGTGTCTTCACACTGTACAACTTGTTCCCTCTGTCAGGCAACGCAAAGATGAGCTCGAACAAAGAATGTCGACTCTGCAGGAGAGTCGCAGGGAACTCATGGTGCAGCTGGAGCAGCTAATGATGCTTCTCAAGGTACCTGAGACGTGTCTCTCATCTCTCTCACTGCACAGTCGTCACATACAGATGAATTCGCCTTCATGATTACTGACGGAGGACATACACTCTATTTCCTGTTGGGAACAATACAGTTTTGTTGTATTTTCTTTTTTACATGTACGTCTTAGCCAGAATCAATTATGCTGAAGATTATATTAACATGATTATATAAAACTACAGGGACATGTACTGTATGTCTTCTTTCTGATATTGATGCAGGTGGTAAGCAATATGGCCTGATGATGGATTTACCTTGTTTTACATTTCCTTCCAGCTGTGGCTGATGTAAAGCAAACACTGCACTTTATAGATAAGGACACGTCAGAAATTACCCAAAATGTCCTTTGGAGGGCGCCGTTAACATTCAAGCTCTGTTATCTTTTCTTTTCTTACCTCAAAAACCTAAAGGTACAATATATTCACATATTTAATTAAAGAGTCTTATCTATAGATGAGGAAAAAGCATTTCATTTCTTTATTTCATATTATCATTGTTGTTATTATTATTTTATATAGGCCAGATATAGTAATAATATAAAGTCAAATCAATATTTAGTGGCAAAGTGGTACCAGACTCTAATCCTGTATATTAATCATAGGTATAAGTAAAGAATTAAATAAGTTATTGATTGTTATGAACTTGTCCTCTCACGTCAATGTCAGTTAATACAATTGAAATATGGCATTGATTAAATATGCTAATGTAATTAATATGTTAATGTGTCTCAAAGTGCCAGACAAGAGTCCAGACTATTTAAAAACATGATACAGGGTTTGGAATTATCCTCCATCTCACCCTACAAGACAGCACTTCATCTTCTCTATAAGAAAGATAAGATATCTTTTTATTAACCCAAAAAGATCAATGTTAATCCATTAAACTCGAGTGAGGAAGCCACAGTCTCATCATGTACCCACTGGATTTTTCCCCCCAGAAATACTTGTGGTTTTATGAGCCTTAAAATATTGTTTTTTTCAGCTGGAGGAGGAGCGGAGACAAGCCGTAAGTTCGAAAAAACCTAAGGCTTCAAGAGACTGAAACTTGGAAGCATGTTTGAAACAAATACTTGTCAGCTGAACATTTTATCAACAAACCGTTGGCTTCGCTTGTTAAAAACTAACAACCTTTTCCACACAATTTAGAAATTCATTGTTTTTACCAGACAAGATAAAAGCTTGTGCTTTGGTTTGTGGGCATGGTTGGAATATTTCAGGGAGGAAATCTGTTTTAATAGCATGTTAAATATTTGAATAATGTCGTGTTGAAAGCAAAAACAGTTAAGCCACTCAAACACTGTACATTTCTAACATGTGTGTAGTGTGTGTTGCTATTGTGGTTGATTTTTCAGGACAAATTAGCTTTAACAGCTATTAGACTGAATTATTTAAGCATTTTTTGGTGATTAAATTATTTTCTTGGTAAAATAGCATGATTTTCTGTGCAAACAGCACTAATTTTGTCTGTATGTGTTGCAGACTCAGGGTCCCGGCTCGCCACGCTCTTCCCCCAGCCACACCATCAGCCGGCCAATCCCCACACCCATCCACTCGGACTCTGCCAGCACGACCCCGACTCACACACCTCAGGACTCACTCATGGGAGTGGGAGGGGATGTTCAGGAGGCCTTCGCTCAGGGTGACCGACTCAAACACGTGCATTTATTAAGTCTGGTTGGAATTGGAAGTAATCATATTCAAAACTTCTCTTTTTGTCTTTTGCTTTGAAGGTCCAAGGAGGAATTTAAGAAACGACCTGCTCATTGCTGCTGACTCCATCACCAACACAATGTCGTCATTGGTCAAGGAACTCAATTCAGGTAAAAATGAATCCGAAATAACTCATGTTTGTCCTCCTGATTTATTACATAACAGCTGATTTCATATCTCTTTTTTCCACAGAGGGCGGAAGTGAGACTGAGAGCACTGTGGATTCAGACTTTGGCCGTGGTGACCTGTCGGCCGCAACCTCTTCAGATCCCTTCATCACCTTTAAACAAAGGTTCATCAACTTTCAGTGCACAAGAAATGATTTGCAAGAATGCTGATATGAATATGAGAAAAAAAAAAAAGAAATAGATTAAGGTTTTTGAATGAACCTGCCATCACAGACATTTGTTGAGGAACTGCTTTGTTCAACTTACTGCTTATTTTCTCTGTACAAACAACCCTGTGGTTTAGCTTTGTTCCATACAGATGTGTGTGGAAAGGCCATCTACCTTTCAAAGCACCACTGAATCAGATGTATTGGTTGTTATAGGAGATCACTTTAAAAACGATAGTAAATTCCTTTTAAACCACTGTTTTAAACTCGTGTTTTAACCTGCCTGTTGTGTTGCAGGAGGGCCAGCGCTGCAGAGGAGGAGGGCTTTGAGAACGATCTGGAGCAGCAGCTGGAGGACGAGCTCAGCTTCGAGGAGCTGATGAAGCACAGGCAGGAACCAGACAAACCGTGCATGGTGAGACTCGAAACAAATCAGAGCAGATTTAATTTAAAGATGATTCAATTTCTCCTTTTCTGTTATAACTCTAACCTGCTTTATGTGCTGTGGTGGTGTTCATACAGGTGACTCTGCAGCAGTGACTGTGTTAATCCATGTCACTGGTAAGTTTCTGACACTCACTCTCATCAATATTGATTAATCAGACAATTTTCAATTATGTGAAGTCTGTAAAAGGCAAGAAAATAGTTTTTAAAAATGCATGCTAGAATTTCCCACTTAAAATATCTTCAAATAACCATCCCTCTAATGGCCAAAACTCAGTTTTCTAATATGGACGACAAAGAAAAGCAATGTTCTTTACTTCACTTTACCATGTAGGCTATAATGTTTTATTCTTTACAGGTGAGCAATATGAAAAGCAACAATAGTAGAAGACACTGGACACTGGGCCGACGGTACCGAGCACTGAAGAAGTGAAGATGAATTTTAAGTTGAAAAAGAAAAAAATTGCTAAGTCCAACCACAGACTACATTTATGTGAAGATATATATTTTTAACCAACCACATATTTAAAGTAATACTGTGAGCTGATGTAAAGAGATTAATTACTAAGCTGTCTATGATACCACAGGTGCCATAAAAAAACTCATGATTTGTTTCTTCTTCATTTTTATCCTTTTTTTATGAGTTGTGTCGCTCGTATACAGTGTTCATACACGGTGGCAAAGTGGCGAATTCTCATGTGTCTGAGTTTTAAATGAAACGAACCAGGATTTAACGTTCGTTCGCCATCTGCTTTATGTTTGAAACTTGAGATTACGTTGGAGTTGAAGTTATTGTCGATACAATTTGCAATCTTTTTTGAGATTTTATCACTATTCCATAGATTTCTTAATGTTGCTGTCAAGTGGCTTTTGTATTTTTTTCGTTTGTGTTTTGAAGCAGGCCCACTGCTATTGATCAGAAAGGTTTGTTTTATTTGACACATCGGTGATAATAATGCACACTGCCTGCACACAGCTGGTTGGATGATCTCACAGAGGAGTTCATTCAAACTGACGGTGCAGCATGTAGCTAGCAACACGACCCGTTCAGCAGCGATGCGACATGTGTCCACTGGGAAAAAATGAGGTTAAACTCATTTAATCTGACGCTTGGAAAGGTTTTTGGCTGAGAGAGATTTGAACTGAAAATATGTACAATGTCTACATATAAAAGGCTAATTACACCTGGTTTTAGATGGATTGAACGTGTGCTAAAAGACAGTAACACAAACGCTTCCAAATAACTCAAATTCAAAGGTTTACACTGGTAAGGGCATTGAACAAACTGTGTTTACTATCAACGGTTAATGAATAAGGTTCGATCATAGATCATTCGCCATTGCTTCCTTTGATAGCGTCAGTGCTCTCACGCAGACCTGTGCATGACTTGCACAGCAACATACACACTCTTGATGTATTTTCTGAGTGTGCGTGAAAACTTTACTCAGTCACTTTGGAGGGGGAAAAAGTGGCGAGCCAATCTAAAATCATAAATGTGTGAAATATATCTAGTTTGATTTTTGAGCAAGTTCATAGCAGTGATTTTGCATGGTGGTGATGCATAATAAAGTGTTGACACAATATCACAATTTTTGCCTATGAACTCCGTTTTCTCTTTCTTTTTCCATTCCAGAACGGCACACTTCAATTGGCTTGGTTTGGCAGTGCACATTTATTATCTGTCATAAATGCACTGTTGGCTGCCCTCAACCTATTGTCTATAATTCATCACACAGAGCCCCCATCTGAGGTAACATAAAAGCAGCCATCCAGCTCGGAATCTCACTTTCATGTGGGTATTAGGAAGGAGAATTTCACTCTCAGGCTCAGGCAGTATTATCAGCATATGAATGAACTGAAAAGAGGTTTAATAATAATTATCATCAGTACTTTTTAAAAACATCAACACATGTCGATCAATATTAACATTCAGAGACTGTATTTATAACATTGACCCACAACCTCCATCACCAAAGCTTTTACATAATGATCACAATCAAGCCTCCAAGAATCTTCCTACAATATGTTCTCTATCTGCTCTGTGTCTTGTCTCCTCTCAGCACAGTTAGCAAGCTGCTCTAATGGTGATGAATTTCATACAAAGCCTCATCGAGATGTCCTCTGTCTTTTATCAAGTGCATGACTGCACCCTGGTGTTAACACAGGAGGAGTGCAGTTGTGTGAGTAGCTGAACATAGTGAAAGCGTTCTTTCACAATACACATTGCTGTTCTTTCAGCGATGTAAGAATTTGTAGCAGAACCGAAGAAGGTGACATCCAAAAAGACACAGATATTAAATTTGAAATAATATGCAACCATTGATCATCATTGTTTCAGATAACGACATCGAAATCGAACAATTGTAAAGTTTTTTTGTGGATAAGTCAAGCACCTATTTATCTTTCAGCATCAATTTAACATTACAATTCATGGCAACATAACAGTGTTCTTTGATTTTATTACTAATAAGCACAACAGTGAGATTCCTTTTAGTTTTATAGATCTTATTTAAATAATTTGCAGGTTTAGCTGGTTTAAAATAAGTCTTGATTAGTCTGTGTTAAAAATTAGTGTTAACCCTCAAGTATTGTGCTCAAGTACAATTCTGAGGTGTACTTTCCTTGAGTATTTCAATTTTCTGTTTCAGATATTCATTAAATTACATTGTATTACTTTTTTGTAACTTTTATTTATTTAAAGGGGGCAGTGTGCATTAATTAATATGAGAACAATGATTAATGCAAATGTCCCAGAGTTGGTATCTTAGAATAATGTGAATACATTAAAATACTTTCTACTTGTTAAAGCATCACTAATTACCATCAATCGGTGTAGAAATGTGTAATAATATATAAAAAACCTGACAGAGCAATGTATCGTGGGCAGCTTTACCTTTTATTCATTAAATCAAAGTTTTAAATTCTACGATAATTATTGGAAAAAGAAAATCAAACGGTACGAAAACTGTGTGACAGTGTGAGTGATCAGCGCATCAACACCTGATTGGTCAACCCCCGGACAGATGTCACACGTCAGCCAATCAGCTGCGAGGCCGATGAAACGCCGTCCAATCCGCTGCCGGCTCTCCCCTCACCGCGTAGTGATTCTGGGCGTTAGAGGGTGTGGTGACTCAGCCGGAAAACAGCTTTCTCTCGTGTGTGTAACAGCTCGTTGTTCAACCTGAGGATCATCACAGGTGAGTCCCGCTCCCGTCCCGGTCCGTGGTGGGGATTCAAACCTGCAACATGTGTGCGTGTTTTAAAAAACCGAGCCGCCGGTGTGTGTGTGTGTGTGTGCGCGCGCGCGGTGATGTCCCCCCGGGTCAGGGCATCTGTGAGCTGTCACCGCTCCTCCGCGTCAGCGCCCGGCAGGAGCGAAAATTAGCTTAACTGTAAGTTGGCGGCTAGCTCGGACGAGATGTTCCAGCGTCCGTGTAAACAACGTCTGGCTCCCTCGGACACTTTCGGCTTTAGCTTTAGCATTGTTGGGCTGCGTGCTAGCGTGGCCGCCAATCATAGCTAACTCACTCAGCTGTCACTTCCAGCACGGAGCGGAGTTAGCTTTCAGTCGCCGCAGCTAGCTTGATTTTGAAAACAACAGAAATTGGCCACGCTTGTTTCGCGTCTCCCGCCAGCAGCGAGGATAGAAAGTAGTGACTGGACCTCACCTTTTATCACCCCCCCAACCCCCCCTTCAAATGCTGCAGTCAACTTTTCACAAAGGCTTCACATAAACCACTGCAGGAGATTAGCTTAAGCAGTGATCCCTGCCTTCATTTCTATCAATGATATTTCGACACCACAGTAGTAACATCATATTTAAACCCGTCCAACCTGCAGCTCAGGGTAACACTGACCTCTGTGCTGTCTGTTGGATGCAGGGGACTGGATGTGCCCCCCCTCTTCTTGGTAACCCACTTCAAGAGAGCCAGTGTTGAGATATGAATGGAGACAGCACAGCTCTGGCCTTTCCTCTAATGGACTGAGCTCAACACTCTGTAAAACATAGATCGGGATATAGGCTGTGCATTACCAGCATGTTCTCCACCCCCAACCCCCACAACATTGACAGCAGGCTACATTAACAAGCAGCCAGCTAGATTGGCTATCTTGTCTGCTGTGCTCCCAGAGTGAGCCCGTGCAGTTCCTGGCATGGAGAAGTCCAGTTCAGAATAAACACGTGTTCATAGGTAAAATACTTCAAATTATGTCACAGTTAGACTGATGTAACTGGTGAGTAAGCTAGTGGTTTTATAACGTCTTAATTGGCTGTTTCCTTAGTATTAGTGTTTGCTCTGCTTTAAGGAGGCTTAAGAAAGTGTCTCAGCATCAACACAAGTAAATAATCCTTTTCCATATCAAGGTGTTAACGTCAACAGAAAACTAAAACTGTGAGAGAAGTCACCGTTCAGGTGAGGAGACTATAGTCATTGTCATGAATCCATCTGTTACCCCACTCACTGTCACCAGATCACAAAGCACGACACACACTAACAGACAGCTGCTTCAAACCAGTCATTCGTTTATAAAAAAGATGTTCATACTTCTTCTCTCCTTTTGTTGTAATGTAACTGCAGATATGTCTGTGGTTTTAAATTTGTGGTAATAGAATCCTAGATTTTTGTTAAGTTTCCCTCTCTACAGGTGAAGCTGTAGACCCAGAGGGCAGTCTGAACATTTGAAACCAGCTGTGAATGCTGCACCTCTGTGTTGACAATTTAAGGCCCTTCAGATTGGGAAGTGGCAAGTTAACTTCAGTGACAACCTGGTAGAGGCTATTCCACCCAACCTGGCTTTAGCACAATAATGCTAACAAGCATATAGATGCCACTGATCTTTGACCAGGTCATACTTGTGCTGCTTGCCGCCTACAAAGAGGACGTCTGTACTTACACTTGTGTTGAGTGTGATGAGACCAAAATGCTGCAGTTGTCACTTTCCAGTCTGTTTGGGCCTCTAGCATTACTGCAGTGGATGTGTAGTTTTGCATACATGATTTGGTTCTTTGTAGATATGTGCCTAGTGTCCACAGTATGGCAATTCAATGAGATTAGTACTTGTCTGGGCCTTGGCTCTGCAGGAATTTGTGTTAGGAAGGACTAAGGAATAATTTTGACCCAGAAAAGGGGTTTTGCTGAATTATTTCCCTCCAGCAAACTATAGATGAATATTTTGCACTTTGTCAACTGCCTTGATTTATTTCTCATGTTGTCACGGTTTTAAAAAAAAATTCAAATGCAAGCCTAAATGCACTTTTCAGTGTAAAGGTGAATTGTATGCTGTCACTGTTAGAGGGGCAATCCACGGTGTTGTATGTTAAACCTGCTCTGCTGACATATAGTAGTTGACCACAGAAGATGTCAAGATCACTAACCCAGCTTTGGCCTGATGGTGGCACTAGAGTTTTATTCAGAGTGAAAGTACCCAGCTTGCTGATCAAGCGCTGTGAGTATTTTACATCTTTTAGCTCGTTTTAAAAGCAGAAACAAAATTTGAACTATTATTCATTATATTGACAGAACAAAATCAAAATTGTTGGTATTGCAATTTCCAGTATGGAAGGGTTTAAATCATCTTGTAGGAAAAAATGTGTTTGTCCTCTGTTGGACTTGTCTTAACATAAAAATACAGAGAAGAAATGCAGCTGACTCATGAAAAAGTTAGAGCATTACTGGGCAAAATCTGAGTTGATCTTTGGACTGACAGATGCTACATAGATTTTTGCAATTATCTCAAAACGCCCCCCTCTCTATCTATGTTTACACTTATAAACCAACACTGATAAGGACAGTAGGAATTCTCTAAAAAAATAAAAGCCAGGGCACCTTTCAGTTTAAGAAACAATACAATAAAAATAAGTCCTTGTCAGGAAACAAATCAAGGCAGTAACAGAATAGTTAGTAGAAATGTTTTAGGCCATATGAATATGTGGAAATACTTGCATTAAATTCCTGTATAAACATCATAGCTGTGTTATAGTCCAGTGCTATTAACAGAGCTGTGACATCAATCAGTGGCTGTTAAATACTGTGACCTGCTGGTTTTTTGATAGATGCTTCTTATACTTGATTACTAACCATGTGCACATCACGTGTCATTATATAGCATTTTTCTATTTTAATTTAAATGCAGAAAAAATGTATTCTGCTGAAAAAGTATGTTTATATACAATCCAAGGTGTGCATGAAACAAGGAAAGGTTCTGTGTCCCATTGAGAACAGTTTCTCAGCAGCTTCACACACAAACAATAAGCAGTTCATAAACCACAGATGTGACAACACAAACAAGGGAAAGCTTAAAGTAACAAGGGGGCGGTCATCATTGATCTTTGTCACATGTTCTTTCTAATGAAAAAAGTATTGCAGATACAGCTGGTCTTTTTATTATCAATCTGCTGATATTTCCTTGATTAATCGATGGGCCCACAAAATGTAATTGAAAAAAACCCCTCATAATTAGAGCTGTAGGTTACGTCCATTTAAATTACTTTTGACCAAACATAAGTCTAAAACCAAGTTTACCCGTTTACTGTCACAGTACATCCTATTGCTGTAGCACTTGCACTTTAAGTCTTTAAACATTGATAACATAAAAATATATAATATTATATAAACTAAGTGTATAGTGTGTTTTAATGTTGATAACCCTATTTTTACAGATTGATTAACACTTTACTCGAACTCCCTTAATGTAGCATTTATAAGCAGCATATAAACACTTCATAAATGATTCATAACACCAATTAACTTTGGACTTATTTGCCATATTATCACTATTTCTTAGACATGTCATTCAACAAACCATTAATCAAAGAAAAGATCAGCAGATGAATCAATAATGAAAGTAATAGTTGCTGCCCATATTAGATAGTAGTTTATTATATCTTATGCTTATAAATGCCAATTAGTGAAGTGATATCATTGATTCATATGGTTAGTAATCAAAACAGCTTTATATCACATACCATGCGTGTGTGTGTCATCATTTTCATCAGCCCGATTTGTACCTCTCAGAACCTGCCTGCTTGTTTTGTATATGTCGACCGACTGTTTGAATATCACCTAAGCATTTTGTGGGTGAAACTGGGTGGGCTGCATTTTCCTTTTTGATCAAATCCCTCCTCCCACGTCCCCATTGTCTCTTGAGCATCTGATGAATGGCTCAAAATGAGTCGCTCAAAAGCAACAGCAACTAAAAAAAAAGCATCAGGCATTGATCTGATCTGATGTGATGATGCTATTTTAGCACACACGCACACACTCAAGCGATCAATGTGATTTGGAGCAGTGAAATAGCCCCCCCCCCTCCATAAGGAAGAGGCAGCCAGGCCCAGCGGTCACGTGGTGCAGGGTGCAGCGACGTCACACGGGCAGAGATTTGTGAAGAATAAGCAGACAGAGAGAGAGAGACCCGGAGGTGCGGCACTTTCTTTAGCATTTGCATCGTTCCTGTTGTTTTTATTTATTTTTCCCTCCGGCCAGACAGAGAACAGAGTTATCTGTTCCACACGTTAGAGACCCAAATGCCCGGTCCCACCCAAGCCCTTTCCCCAAATGGAGAGAATAACAACGACATCGTCCCGGACAACGGAACCAACATCATTCCTTACAGGAAAAATACGGTGCGGGGAGAGCGCGCCTACAGGTAAATCAGTGTAATGCCGCATTTGATATTTAATGTTAGCAGACAACGACATGTAAGATATAATTAAAAAGACAAGACACTGGTGCAGACAGTAGCCTGCATGCTGGCCTCCTCCTCCTCCTCCTCCTCTTCCTCCTCCTCCTCTTCGACGTGTGTCGGTTTTAGCCTCGCACTCATCCGCTCCTCTCCCCCTCGTTGTCTCCTCTCATGTTAGCTCTGACATGGCGTAAATCGCTCTCAAGTGAAAGCCTCTCTCTGCCGCTGTGTGGGTCGTCGCTGGCAGCTTGTGCAGTTGTTGCCCGGTGTTACGGTGTGTGTGTGTTTGCACAGGCAGATTTCTGCTGGACTGGATTGAAACGGTGTCGCTTGTCAAATGACAGGACACCGACAGACGCCCCTGCTGCTGCTGCTGGAATATTCCCATCGTGACATGACACCCCACAGCTCCATGAAACCACCTTTACATCGCTGTTGATGTGTGTTTGAGGTGATGATTCCAAGTGTGAGCCCCTCTTTACCTGGATCCACCCTCCTCCCTGTTTGAATCCACACACCAGCCCTGCCCTGGTGGCTATCCCTGCCCCGGCTAACAAAGCATGCTAGCAGCAGCAGCAAGCACATACATCCGCTTTGTTGACATGGGATCCTCTGGCCCAGTTTCCTTCCTTCCCTCTCAGGGACTCAGTGAGCCGGGCCTCAGCTCCTGCACTGCTGCCAGAGCCCAACTTTTAATGATAGGAGGGTTATTATTATCATCCTGCACATACCCTGGTGTCTGCTAGTGGGGCACGATGATTTAGCAAGATTTAATGCCATATTAGTGGCTGACATAATCCAATAAGAAGGGTGTTTTTAATGCAGCTGTCCTGCTGCCTTTCAGAGAAGTACGCTGAAATCAGTCCGAGCTAAGTCTTTATTTTTAGAGAGGATCTGAGGGGGATTGCACTCTGTTTTCATTTGTATGCTGGATGTTGCTGATTTCTACTCTATTGCACACTTATTAGGTTCACCCAGTTAAAACTAGCAAAGTCCCCAAAAAGTTAGGTTATATTGTCCAGTTTTTCATAGAGGCGTTAATGCAACATTGGTTGAACATATGTGAACACTGCTTCACACTTGGGTTGCATCTAACATTTATTTTAGAACCATTTCTGCCAAATGGTTTTGTATATGAAATTTAGAATTAAAGATTACATTCACTATTTCTTAAAGCTGATGGCAATTTCCTCTGAATGCTTGTTTTGTCTGAGACAACAGACAACAACCTAGAGATTTAATTTACTGTCATGTGTGAGAAAGAAAACAGCAAAACAATACTCCCACAATTTATCAGTCATCAAAATAAATGTCTATTAATGTTCTGTCGATTGTATAACCATTGCAGCTCGTAATTGCCCAGAGTGGTTTATCTGTTATCTACAATAACCTCATTGATATATTCACAAAATAATATCAAAACCAATATATATAACACAATATAGTTGAACAGCTCCATAAACTATAGAATCAGAACCTTTTAATCAACATCTTTCTAAAACTGAATATTAAACCTTGTAGGAGGTTATATTGCAGACCTGCTGTGTTTGACTGCGTAACCTTTAATTATGTGTAACTTATAAACTGGGATGGAACCTGTTGTTAATATGGTCAAACAATTACTGACTGGGCTTTAAAGTAATTTTGCTTGCAGTTAAAAAAAACTAAAGACACACAACCTTCTAACAAAGCATTTTTCTCCGCATGATCAAGGAAATTGTGAAAATTTGTTAAAAGATTGTTAATTTATACTTGGGAGAGCTACTGTATACTTGGGCTGGTTGCTAAGATTTAACCTAATGTGTGTGACTTGCTGGAAATTCTGGTACTAAGAACGTTGTTTCAGTGATTTGTTGCCAGTCTGTTTAAGTGCTTAATCTGTAGCTTAAGGATTAAAGTTTGCCAGAGGACCCCAAAAGCCACAGCTTTGCCAGTTGATAAAATCGCACCATCTAACCAGACTTTGCAGCAGCTTTTTATTGACCATGTCAGTAAAATCAAATCAAAGGATACGGAAGCAAATATGAAAACAACGCACGGGGACTGTTACAGCCCAGATATTAATATAACAAGTGTTCATTATCAACACAGCCAATATATTCTCTGCTCCCTGAGCAAAGACAATTTGTGTATTAGTGCATAAAGATACATTTGTTCTGCAAAAGATGGAAATACAATGACCTGAACGAAAATGTTTCAAACCAGGTGCAACAAAAACCAACACAATCTTACTGATGCATTTTACACCATCATGCATCCTGGTTTATTATTGTCTCAAAATTTTAGCATTTTCACGTTACATGCCGATACACATCCACATCCATTATGGTTTTAAAATAAAACATTCTTATTGTTGCCATGACTACATAATTGTTGGCCTTATAATAATAATGTATACTGTGCTCAGTGGAGGCACTTGGAGACAACAGGGATACATTCAAAGAGTGGATCCTGGTTCTATGACATGCAGGAGTGAGGGGCCGACTGTTTGTAGGAGGCTTTACTTCAGTTTGGACCCTGGGTTTCTTTGTGGGTCAGTCTGGCCATGTTGTTACATTTTACCGATCATGTCATGATGCAGTTTTACTGTGTGGCTTCCAGTGTCGAAGGATAAACTGAGAATTTGAATTAAATTATCACTGAATGTGATTTGATCTGATTCGTAAGTTGTTTTGTCTAAAAATGATTACAGCCAGTCATTGTAAAGTCGTTGTTTTTATAATTTTCTGTATGTTTGTATTTGTGCAGGTCCTCCATGTTATTGCATTGCTTTTCTTTCTTAGTGTTATTGTATTTCTGTTTACAGTTGGGGGATGGCGGTCAACGTATATTCTACCTCAATAACCCAGGAGACTATGAGCAGGCATGACATCACTGCCTGGGTTAACGATATTCTCTGCCTAAACTATACGAAAGTGGAGCAGCTCTCCTCAGGTGAGAACAGAATGAAAAACCTTCTCTCTCTCTCTTAATCTCATCGTCTTCTCCCTCTCCTGCTGTTGCATGTTTTTAAAGAGGCTGTTTGAGATGGGGAACATGTTTGGGAGATTACATCAAATAGTCTGTGTAAGCTGGCAGTTCAAGCAACTTGTGGCAACATGCTCACCTCTCCCTGGCAGGGAGTCTTCTATAAATAAACTTGTAGCCTGCCGTGTTCTCCTACTGTGACCATGTAATCCACTTTGGGTTCCTCTGTAAACAGAGACTTACACACTAACACTGCTTTAGGTGTAGGATCCTTTTTTTAATATAGATTACTTCCTCTGTGCTCTCTAGTTTAATTTGATAGATTTCAGGTTGCCCTGTTCTTTTTCAAATGGATAAAAGTCTAAATAGGCTTCAGTTAATATTAGCAGTGCTACCAAGAACATGCATTAATAGTTTTCTTTTTTAGGAAACAAGGTCAACAGTCTGGATCCAGAAAACGCTTCCAGGCTCTTTGTTATTCCAGGGAATTTTTGTCAGACAGATCTGATAAATCCTAGCCTGTAGCTGGAGTCCGTTTCCTGTGGCTCATACACTCAACTAACCTTTTATTACATCTTTAGGAGCTGCCTATTGCCAGTTCATGGATCTGCTCTTCCCTGGCTGCATCAGTCTTAAGAAAGTGAAGTTCCAAGCTAAATTGGAGCACGAGTACATTCACAATTTCAAACTGCTGCAGGCATCCTTCAAAAGGATGAATGTGGACAAGGTGGGTTTCATGAACTTTACATCAATCCTGTTCCAGTTGTGTGCAATATTATTTATAGAACTTACTGTTCCACAACATGTGTGATTAAATTTATTTTTCACCCTCGCCTGACCTCTCCTTTCCTCGTCCTCGATTCAGATTATTCCTGTGGAGAAACTGGTCAAAGGCAGATTTCAGGACAATCTTGATTTCATCCAGTGGTTTAAGAAGTTCTTTGATGCCAATTACGACGGTAAAGATTACGACCCGGTGGCAGCCCGACAGGGTCAGGATGCAATTCCCCCACCTGACCCCGGTGAGCAGATCTTTAACCTGCCAAAGAAGTCCCTCCACGCAGCCAGCTCCCCCACTGCAGGTGAGCTTTAAGTTCATTTGCAAATATTAATTTTGATCAAGCTGAAAGTATTTTCACGAACACTCTCACATGTTTTTTATTGTGCCTGGCTTGAGATTGATTGATTTTTTTTTTATAGCAACTGCTTGTTTGTCCCTGAGTAATAAACTTTTCATTTGCTTGTAGGAGCATCAAGGTCAACCTCCACAACCCCCAAGTCCTCAACACCGACATCCCGACCCTCATCAGCGAAAAAGATCCCTGTAACAACTGCAACTCCTGCCAAAGGGGAGAAGGAACTGGAAGCGCAGGTCACTCATCTTACAGAGCAGGTTTGTTTATGTTTATAAATTCTGATAGTTGGACAGGAAGTGGTCTACTTTGATTATCTTTGTGAAAGTAT